CATGGTGGCCAGGAAAACGACACAGACTGATTGGCCAGGCCTGGCTTATGTTCACACCCCAGCCAATCCCAGGGCCAGTGATATGCCACTTTGGCCAGCTGGGGCCCAGTGTCCACCTTTGGATTCCACATGCTCAGCTGCCTGGAGCGGAGGTGGTGGTTCCAGAGAGCAAGCAGGGCATCAGTGCAAGGAGGATGGGCCGGTGTACCAGCTCCAGTGAAGCAGCGCATGTGCACCATGCACGTGCGTGGTGCAGTGCCTGGGCAATGCGGTCACTGTCTTGGCCTTCCTGTCCTCTGGGTCTGGGAAGCAGCTATTGCTGTATGTGTATAAGGGCTTCGTCACAGTCAGACAAAGGGACAGATGGGTGCATTCTGTCAAAGCAAGTGATCTCTCTGTGCCAGGTTCCATTCTAGTTGTTAAGGGCACATCAGTGAGCATCACACACGGTCCCCACCGCCCTTGGCTTCAGTACACAAACAAACATGTGGTATTAAGTAGTGCTGTAAGGAAGGCGGAGGTGGGTGAGGTGTGGGGAGGGGCATGGCCTCAGCACGGTGGTCACTCTTGGAGGAGGGGACAGAGTGAGCCATGGCCCTTGGCTTCAGTACACAAACAAACATGTGGTATTAAGTAGTGCTGTAAGGAAGGCGGAGGTGGGTGAGGTATGGGGAGGGGCATGGCCTCAGCACGGTGGTCACTCTTGGAGGAGGGGACAGAGTGAGCCATGTCGGGGGCAAAAGGTGGTGGGTGGGGCGGGGGAGCACCCAGGCAGAGAGGGACAGCATGTGACAGGGTCCTGGGGCCTGACAAGAAGTCACTGTGGCCCAAGGCAGTGAGCAAGTTGGAACACAGTGGGACATGAGGCCAGAAGGGTAGATGGTAGGAAAGGACCTTCTCACATGGATGCCCGTAGGCCACAGTGAGGACTTGAGATTTTATGCAGGGTCCTGAGATGCTCCCGGAGAGTTTTGAGGTGGGTGCAATGTGATCCATGTGATGCTTTTTAAAAGATCCTGTTGTCTCCATTGGAGAAGTGGAATCTGGTGATGGGGTCAGCCGAGGGGAGGGACAGAGGTGGTAGCAGTGGAAGTGGTGAGAAGGGTCAGATTCGGGCTTCATCTAGCAGGTGGAGCCGTGGTACTTGCTGGTGTGTTGGATTTGGGGGGTGGCCTGAGCAAGCAAGAGGATGCTGTGCCATTTCCTGCTCTGCGGAGGTCTGGGGGAGGAGCAGGTTTGGGGAAATGTTGAGAACTCTTCTAGCTATGTTACGGTCCGTCCGTCGAGGTAACCATTAGACTTGCAGATACTTTGTCATGTAGGTGAAGAGCCCAAGAGGAAGGAGGCAGGACCCCGGTCCCCGGCTCCCAGGCCTGTCCTCTGTGCCAGCAGGCCTGGGGGGGAGATATGCAGCTCTGCTGGTCCCCTTCCTGTGTGGCCTTGGCCACAGCGGGGCACATGTCTGGCCTCTGCATCCTTGGCTGTAAGCTGAGGCTTCTGTGCCTCAGGTTCTGGAGCGAGTCAGTGAACAGCCATTGTCACTGGGAGATTGGCTCAGGGGTAGGTGCCACTCAAAAGGAGGTGGGACAGACAGGGGAAACAGTGGGGCAAGTGCTCTGGTCTGGCACAGAGGTGCCCCAGGCTGGCGGCTGGCAGGGTGGGAACTTGCCTGGGTGTGTACGTGAGTAGCTGATGTTTGCATCAGTGGGCAGGCATTTTTGGCGCTGAGTTTAGCAAGATGCCAGTCAGCTCTGGGGCCCCAGGCGGCCCACTTAGCATTGGCTTTGGAGAGGTCACTGCTTTACATTCTCAGGGTAGTCGTGGCTGCTGTGTTCAGATTTGCCCTACTTTTTGGCACTTTCTCAGTCTTCTGAGTCTTCCTGTGTCCTGCCCATAACCCCCTCCAGAGGGAGTCTCCACCTGGATACCCTTGCAGACAGCTCTGTTCACACAGCACTACAGCGTGGAGTTGGGGCCCAGCCCTGACCCCACAGCCCCCAGGGTCATCTGCCTTGAGAGCAGGAACTGGGGCCCATTAGGAGGACTGAGAGGGAGGGAAGCTAAGGGCACTGCCAAGACCAGAAAGCCCCGAGGCCTCTGCCTGACCAGCTAGGAGTGTGTCATTGGGGTGACAATGTGGGGAAAGCAGAGGCTGGGTACCAGCTGGCCAGCCTGGCCAGGCCCTTGGGGCAGCCCTTCGAGCTCATTGCCCCTCAAGGGAGCAGCTACTGGGGTGTCCTGGTTTCAGGTCTGTAGTCACTAATGTGAAGATCTGGGATTCCAACTTGGGCTATCTGTAGAGAATCCCAGAAGGGTTGGCACCACACATGCGGTGTCCAAGCCTGAGCATTCAAAGTGGCATCAGACCAGTTTCAGAAATGGACTGGCTTCCCAACCAGGGCCAGGGTGGGGCAAGACGCCAGTGCAATGAGGTTCCTAGGGGCCCAGAGCAAGTAAGGCTCTCGGAAATGCAGGTGCATTGGTGATAGGACTGAGGCTAAGCCTCAGCATCCATGCCCTTGATTACAGCCCTGGGGGAGAGGGGTTGGGCCTGGGCGACCCAGGGCCCTGAATTGGAGTCCTCCTTGGTCCTCAGCTCTCTGGGTACCCTCCCATTTTCCCCAGTGTGGTCTGCAGACCAGAGGCAACAAATACCTCATAAAGTGTCCTTGCACGGTGGGGGTGGGGCAGGATGAGACAGAACCACCCGGTGAATGGCCATGTTTGGGAAAGTATCTGATGACTGAGGGGGTGGAAGCTGGAAGGAGGATTTAGCAATCACAGCTAGATTTGGGGAGATGTGTTGCAGGGTCCAGAATTCAGATTGGGCAATTCCCACTGGTCGGGGGCCGAGCTGGCAGCAAAGCCTCCCTGGGACCAGGTCTGCACAGGCTCAGTCTCTGTGGTACCCTGTCCCAGGGCCCGGGTCAGAGGGCGTACTCGGGAAATAATTGCCAATGAGCGAGTGAATCATGGAGGCCTGAGTAGGATGGGGCTTCCACTTCACAAGAAGAGAAAAGTGAGCTACAGGGAAGGGGGCCCCAGGGTGGTGGTCCAGCACTCGCCCCACCCCCAAGCAGCTGGCCTCACAGCTCTGAGCTCAGCTCCTGCAGGCTTGCACAGCAGTGTCCCAGGCAGGTCCTCTGCTCGCAGTCTGCCTGCAGCTTGGGAATCTGACCAGCAAGGCCAGGCCCAGCTTGGCCCGGCTCGGCCTCCATGCCCCCCCCTGCCCAGCCCAGGCACAGGGGCCTTGCCCGGGCAGCTCTGATCACATCAGTCTGTGGCTTCTCTGGTTCTTTGCCAGGGGAGGAGTGAGTGAGAGAGCAATGCAGTTGGACACCAATTTACAATTTCACTGAAGCATGAAATCGCTTCCTTCCTTTACCAGATTATACTTAAGTAGAAAATTGACTTGGGGCAGGGGGAGTATATACTTTTGAAAATTAAAAATGGAGAAGAAACTTCATTGCTTTGGGTTTTGTGGGGGTTTTTTTGCTTTATTTCCAGCAGGAAGAAGGCAGCACCAACTTCAGGGGGGCGGGACACTGGAACACAGTCTGTTTTCTGGCCAGTTTTTCTCCATGCTTGTGATGTTTGCTGCCTCTGTTTGAGCCTCGTTTTTGGGTTTTGTGGGGGTTTTTTTTGCTTTATTTCCAGCAGAAAGAAGGCAGCACCAACTTCAGGGGGGCGGGACACTGGAACACAATCTGTTTTCTGGCCAGTTTTTCTCCATGCTTGTGATGTTTGCTGCCTCTGTTTGAGCCTCGTGTCCACGGCACTGAACTGGAGTCCTGGGTCATGCCATCAGCTGGACGTTAATAAGTGCTTTAATCCCCCAGTCAAGCGGGTGGTACACCTTGTCTGTCTGGTTGCACAGACCATCACTCTGAGCGCCGTGCCCTGGCCTGAGCGGGCAGACTCGAGAGGCAGGTGGGGGCTTGCTGGGGCCAGGAAGGCTCCACTGTCACCAGTGTTCCAGCTGCTTTGCTTGGGACAAAGCTGGATTGCTTTAGTGTTTGGCACATCCTGCTGTCACCCCAGGCCTTTATCTTGGTCTCGAGGGTGAGTCACTGGTCAGCAGGACTCACCTCTAGACCCTCACTCATCCCAGATGGTTGAAGATGCCTCTGGAGACCCCTGGATTGGGAAAAGGTGTCTACACTGAGCACCAGGGCCGTGATGGTGGCTCTTGGCCAGTACTGCTTAGATTGAGCTTGGGACAGAGCGCACTGCAAGCAGGACAGGGGGTGTGTAAGGCCTCGTTTGTGTGTCCACAGCTCCTTGGGGATGTTGTTTCAAAAGTCCCCCACAGCAAGCCCCGCAGGAACCAGTCTCCCCGGGTAAGTGGAGGCAGAGGTTGGGCTCAGACTGGGCAGCCTGTGTGGGAATCCTGGCCCTGGCACTTTGGGTAGCTACTTGACCCCTCTGAGCCTTGGCTTCCCCAGCTATGAAATGGAGCTCACTAGAGAAGCTTCCCTTCAAGGACTGTCCCAAAGGTGGCACACAGCCAAGGGTGCCCATTACTTAGCACTGCCCTGATGTGCCATATGTGTGTCCCCACACCATACATGTGTCCCCGTAACCACAGGAGGCAGCCCCAGTTCAAGCTTGCCCAGCGGTGGCTTGGCTCGGCCAAAGATGTCTGTCCCAGAGCTGGTAAACGGATGAGAACAATACCAGCTTCTGCAGGGCAGGATGAGACCCTGCCACTCACCTGCACTGTCCTCCAACATGTGTCCAAGGGGGGGCTTGGTGCCAAAGATGTCTGTCCCAGAGCTGGTAAACGGATGAGAACAATACCAGCTTCTGCAGGACAGGATGAGACCCTGCCACTCACCTGCACTGTCCTCCAACATGTGTCCAAGGGGGGGCTTGGTTTGGCAGAGCTGGAGGGGGGTAGGGGGGACAGGCAATGCATCTCGGGCTGAGGGCTGAAGCTGCCAGGAGGGCAGATGGGCAGGAGGCCCCCTCACCTGTGGCTTGTTCCCCAGCAGGTTGGTGCACCATGTCGGTCAGCGTCCATGAGACCCGCAAGTCGCGGAGCAGTACAGGCTCCATGAACGTCACCCTCTTCCACAAGGCCTCCCACCCTGACTGCGTGCTGGCCCACCTCAACACGCTGCGCAAGCACCGCATGTTCACCGATGTCACACTCTGGGCGGGCGACCGCGCCTTCCCTTGCCACCGTGCGGTGCTGGCCGCCTCTAGCCGCTACTTTGAGGCTATGTTCAGCCACGGGCTGCGGGAGAGCCGGGACGACACAGTCAACTTCCAGGACAACCTGCACCCCGAGGTGCTGGAGCTGCTGCTGGACTTCGCATACTCCTCGCGCATCGTCATCAACGAGGAGAATGCCGAGTCGCTGCTGGAGGCGGGCGACATGCTGCAGTTCCATGACGTGCGTGATGCTGCCGCCGAGTTCCTGGAGAAGAACCTCTTCCCCTCCAACTGCCTGGGCATGATGCTGCTGTCAGACGCCCACCAGTGCCGCCGGCTGTACGAGCTGTCCTGGCGCATGTGCCTGGTGCACTTCGAGACGGTGCGGCAGAGCGAGGACTTCAACAGCCTGTCCAAGGACACGCTGCTGGATCTCATCTCGAGCGACGAGCTGGAGACTGAGGACGAGCGGGTGGTCTTTGAGGCCATCCTGCAGTGGGTGAAGCATGACCTTGAGCCGCGGAAGGCCCACCTGCCCGAGCTCCTCCGCAGCGTGCGGCTGGCCCTGCTGCCGTCCGACTGCCTGAAGGAGGCCATCTCCGGAGAGGCCCTCCTCATGGCAGACGAGCGCACCAAGCTCATCATCGATGAGGCCCTCTGCTGCAAGACTAGGATCCTGCAGAACGACGGGGTGGTCACCAGCCCCTGTGCCCGGCCGCGCAAGGCAGGCCACACGCTGCTTATCCTGGGGGGCCAGACCTTCATGTGCGACAAGATCTACCAAGTGGACCACAAGGCCAAGGAGATCATCCCCAAGGCGGACCTGCCCAGCCCCCGAAAGGAGTTCAGCGCCTCGGCCATTGGCTGCAAGGTCTACGTGACTGGGGGCCGGGGCTCCGAGAACGGGGTCTCCAAGGACGTCTGGGTGTATGACACCGTGCATGAGGAGTGGTCCAAGGCTGCGCCCATGCTGATCGCCCGCTTTGGCCACGGCTCAGCTGAGCTGGAGAACTGCCTCTACGTAGTCGGGGGACACACGTCCCTGGCAGGCGTCTTCCCAGCCTCGCCTTCTGTCTCCCTGAAGCAGGTGGAGAAGTACGACCCTGGGGCCAACAAGTGGACCATGGTGGCCCCACTGAGGGACGGCGTCAGCAATGCTGCAGTGGTAAGTGCCAAGCTGAAGCTCTTTGTTTTCGGAGGGACCAGCATCCACCGGGACATGGTGTCCAAAGTCCAGTGCTACGACCCCTCAGAGAACCGGTGGACAATCAAGGCCGAGTGCCCGCAGCCGTGGCGGTACACAGCCGCCGCCGTCTTGGGCAGCCAGATCTTCATCATGGGAGGAGATACGGAATTCACGGCTGCCTCTGCCTACCGCTTCGACTGCGAGACCAACCAGTGGACGCGGATCGGGGACATGACTGCCAAGCGCATGTCCTGCCATGCCCTAGCATCAGGCAACAAGCTCTACGTTGTGGGGGGCTACTTCGGGACCCAGAGGTGTAAGACCCTGGACTGCTATGACCCCACTTCAGACACGTGGAACTGCATCACTACGGTACCCTACTCGCTCATCCCCACAGCCTTCGTCAGCACTTGGAAGCACCTGCCTGCGTGAGGAGCACCTGCAGAGCCCAGTGGGGTGAGCCCCCAGCAGCCTGGGCCACTCTAGGCCCATGGGAGGGTGGGAAAGGGGGACATATTCCTGCATGTTCCCACTCTGGGCAAAGGTCACCATGCCTTCAGGGAAGCTGGGTGGGCAGCGGGTGGCTGATGTGCTCTGGGCTGACTCCTGCCCCTGCCTCTCACTCACGGTTGACCTTGAGCAAAATGACAGCCCCTCTGCAAAATGCGACGATAGCCCTAGGCCAGCACAGTGGTTCCCAAACATGGCCACACATCAGAATCACCCGGGTACCTTTTGACAGTGCCGTGTGGAGTTGAGGCCAACCTGCCAAGTTTCAGGGCACAATCTCCACGCAAGCCCGCTCTCCTTCTGACACCAGCTGCAAGGCAGGGGGCTTCCCAAACCACCCTTGGGTTGGACAGTTGGCTAGAAGGACTCCCAGAGATCACTGAAGGCTGTTATGCTCACAGTTACAGCTCATTACAGGGAAAGGATTTCTGTTCAGACTGGCCAAGGGAAGGGAACATAGGGCAGAGTCCAGGCGAGTCATCCTCTCCCCATGGGATCAGGACAGGGTCACTATCCCAGCACCGATGAGTGACAGTATGCAGGAAGTGTTGCCAGCCAGGGCAGTTCATGCGAGTGTGGTGTCCGTAGTTAGTGTTGGGGCTCCACCACGTGGACAGGGTTGGTTGGTTGGTTACTGACATGGCTACTCTCAGTCTCCAGGTGGAGTGACACAGCATGACCCAGACCCCCACCCTAAATCACATGGTCGTCAGGTGTGGCCACCATCCCCCAAACAAGAACACTCCCATCAGCTGTGTCATAGATCACATCCTGGAAGCTGAAGGCAAGGCCACATTCTCCACTACACAAATGCCACGGCCCAGCCACACTCAGAGCTGTTATGCCAGAACCTCTGGATATCAGTGCCGTGGGGCAGCTGGCCCAGGGTTGGGTTGAGTCCTGCCTCTCTGGGGGCAGCTTCGTGCCCACTGGGGTTCTAGGGCACCTCTGTGAGGTGGGTTAGGTGAAGTCGTCTCTCCACCCGCAGAGCAGGGTCTGCTGCAGAATGGGTGCCCCTGAGTTGCTTCTGTTCTCTGTGTTCTTAGCATCATCATGTGGAGTCATTGCGTGGAAGCAAGTGTGGGTGACAGTGGGTAGAGAGACAGTGACACATCAGGCCTCTGGGGAGGTGACAGGAGGGATGGTGGGAGATGCGCTGAGGGCCTGAGGAGGGTGAAGGGAAAGGAGAGGGCAGGAGGAAACTCTCCTCTGGTGCTGGTATTATCTCCTGAGGGGCTGGGTTTGGGGTTGGGGTCTTTCCTGCAGCTTCTGGGGGTAGGATCGGAGGCTGCAAGGGGGTTCCGAGCCAGCCTGGGTAGGGGTAGGGGCCACCATGGGTGGTGGGCTTTGTGTTCTAGCACACCCTCTGATCAGGTCCTGCCCTTGTCCCTTGTCCCAGCTCAGCCCCCATCCTGGGCCCCTCACAGCTGGGGCGGTGCAGGGAGGCATAGGTCCCCAGGGGGCTCTAAATCTGGGGTTGGGCAGGAGACCCCGAGGTGCTGATCTACCTCAAGCACAAGAGGAGATGTGGAGGAAGCTGCTTCTGCCCACCCGGCTGGCACCAGCGGCCGTGCCAAGGGAGCCCAGGCCCTTCACTGTCCCACCTGCCTCCGGCTGCTGCAGTGCTAAGGGACCACACTGGTCCCATGTGCAGGTTCACCTCCCTTCAATTCAGGTCACAGGAGCCAGCCCAAGCCGAAATACCATTTTCCTCAGTGATCCAGTAGCTGCCAGCGGGAGTGCTGAGAGCTGTGCTGGGCGGAGGCCGTCGCCGCCAGCCGGGAGCAGCCCGAGCGCAGCCGGTGTTCAGCCAGGAGCTTGGAGCCTGCGAAACCTTTGCATCTCCTGGCGGGGAGGTGCGGGCACTTGGGCTCATCAGGGCAGCTGCCTGGGAACGTGGCTTTGTTCTCTTTGAAGGCTTTTCTGTTTTGTTTTATTCTAAGGCTTTTCTGTTTTGTTTTATTCTAATCCATTCCCTTCCTCTTTGGGAGAAAAATCTGACCCACTGAATTTCTGGCTCCCGCAGGGAGTGAGCTTACACGAAGACACTGGCACTCCCTGCTGATTCCCAGGTGCTGCTCTCCTGTACCTGAGGAAGCTGGGTGGTCACCTGGGCGACTGGAGATCCCTCCCACCTCAGGCCAGCCTAGGCGGGGGACCTGTCAATATGATCCAGAGGACTTGAATAGGGAGAAGGAGGAGCCAACTTCAGAGTCAGCTTTTGTTAAGGGAAGCGATGAGAGGATGGCGATGGTGGTGGTTTCAGGACGCTGTGGGCTGCACCCGGTCCCCACAGTCTTGATGGCTGTGACTCAGGAGGCGCATTCCCATGCCCAGCTGAGCACTGCGTGCCTTTTGTTCCATTCAGAACTCCTCAGTCCTGGGGGTGGGGGCAGCTGTCCTCAGCCCATTTAGGGAAGAGAAGTACACACAGGTTAATTGCAGAAGACCCAGCCAGTCCCAGGCCCACTGAGAAGCCACGCCCAGACCCTGCCATCCCAGCACTGTGTCCCCAAGGTGTTTGTAAGCATCTCCAGGCTGCAGGCTTTTCTGCTTGAGGTTGCTTTTAGGCTTCAGCTGCTGCCCTGCAGTCTAGCAGTTTCCTTCCTTCTCGTGGGCCCCAGCAGCCAACCAGACTCAATCTGTCCCCTCAGGCTGACCCTGGGCTGTTCCCATGCTCTGCAAAGCCCTGCCTCCTGTTCAGTTTCTGCTGCCTGGGCAGCTACAAATATCTGGGTTCTCTTCAAAGTTAGGAGCATAAACTGGGCTCCCTAAAGGGCCCATAACACAAAGCAGAGCCTGGCCCTCCCCAGGTCTCAGGGGACACTCCCCACCCCTCTTTAGCTCCCTGGGACTTGGAGCCACAGGAAGTCAAGCCTGTGTTGCTGAGACAGCCACCATGGTGCTGCCAGGACGGAGCTGGAGGAGAGTCTCTAGCTCAGCAGCCACAGACCAGGACCTGATGTGTGGACCTGTGTGGGAAAGGGCTGAGCCCTGAACCCAGGACAAGGCTCAGGAGGAGCTGGGACAAGCATCCCCATCAAGGATCAAGTCAGGAAGGGCCGAAACACGGCGCCCCTGCTGCCCCCCACTGTCCGTCCTGCGTGGGCACCAAGTGACCATGGCAACCTCCACTGAGCCTGGCCGCCATGTGGGAGGGCCTCAGCCAGTGGATCAGCCATCTAGATCGTCGTCTGCCGGTGCCTTGGCAGAGATGGTTCTGTACCCACCTGCCCCTCCAGTTCCCCTCCCTGGCCCTGCCATCCTGCAAGTGTCGCTGACTTTCCTGATTCCACACTGGGCTAGCTGTTCTTGTGGCTGTGGGACTCCGATGTAAACTCAGGATCTCAGCTGGAGGTCCCCTACACACTGCAGCCTCTCCCCATACTCCAGTGACGTCCCCTGTTGTCCCCAAGCGCTCCTTCCCTATCCTGGCCACCTGTTTTGACTCTTGGCAGGTGCCTGCAGCTTTGCTGCATGCTCTGTATTCATGCTCTCGTTTAGTCCTCCCAGAAATATTTGTTGTAGGAGCTGCTACCACAGAGCTGGCCACGAGGACTGTGGGAGCGCAGGCAGTGGGCATCAGATAAGCAGCTAGGAAGGACTGGAACAGGATGTGAGCTGATGTGCCCACTCCTGCAGGCGTCTTCGAGCCAGCCACCGGGCTCCTCACCTCTGTAGCCTGGCAGGGAGGGACTGCCCTGTAGGGACTGCCGTGTTGGAAACTGAACTCCTGCAGGGCTCCAGGGCCAGCCCCTTTGCTCCAGTGTTGTAGTCAGACAGATGTCCCGAGGGGACAGCGGCCAGCACTGGCGGGGGAGACCCTGGAGCTGGGTGTGGGCCCCTGCCTCCCTGGGTCACCTGCTAAGGGTGGACTCGCTATGGATGTTCTCTCCCTCTCTCTCTCTCTCCTACTGAATGCCCCTGCAATCCTTCTCCCCGCAGTGCCTGTCCGGCCTGCCTCTGGCCTGGAGGGCTGTAGAGTGTCGGGCAGGCGTCCAGGCCGCGAGCGTACCCTCTCTTCATGATGGGGGCAGGGCGAGGCTCCAGTCCAGCTCTGGGAAGGGCCACACTCGTTAGTCCCCTGTGGAGCTCAGTTACTGCCGCAGGAGGGACAGTTCAGCACATTCCATCTCACCTTAGAAGTTGTTGCTACAAAGAGGAAGTCCCAGAGCAGAGGACTAAGGGTTTCCACCAGCCTCCCGAGTGGGCCTGGCATGGACGTGAGTGCCTGGGGCTGGAATCTTTGTCAGCGGAGGCATCATCGTCATTCATTCCTGTGCTAGCTCTGGGAAGAAGACACCACCCTGCCCTCAATGTCTGAATCCAGCAGGGCAGACCCTACCCCAGCAACCCATATGCAGACATACGTCCATTCTGCAAGCTGGAGGACTATCCTGTTTCACAGATGAGCAAACCGGGCCTCCGAGGAGCAGCTGCCGAGAATCAGGGGGTCCCAGACTGGGACGGCCATGGGACAAGCCTGAAAGCAGCTGTGTGATCCAGGAGGGAACATGGAGCCTGGCAGCATGGCTCCCAGGTCCTCTGCCTTTCAGGTGCCATCTCTATGTACTCTACAGCTTGGACAGTTGGGGAAGGGGGTTGCATGCCGTGACCCCTAACCCCTGGCACCAGCAGCTTTTGTTTAGTTTAAGGCAGCGTGGGGCTTTGACATGGCAGCGTGTAGTGTGCTGGGCCAGGCCGGGCCCCAGAGGTTTGGGTTTGCCATCTTGGAGCATCTCGAGATGTTGAGGGGTCTTGTGACCCAACTTCTCACTTGTAAGGAGTTTGGAGGAATTTGGGGAGCCTTTGTCAGCCCAGCTGAGAAAACAGTGGCCACCCTGCTCAGCCCACACATCTGGGAGCTCGTTGGCCACGTGGCGATGGCAGAATTCCTACAGAGCAGCACCAGTCAGCCTGCCAGGAGCTCTGGCAGGGTGAGCAAGGGGTACACCCACTTAAAGGAAAAACATTCCACAGGTCACCAGTGCTGGTTCAAGTTCTTATTATATTATTACTTAAATATATACAAGCGCGCAACTAGATAAAAGCTCCTTGTGTTTGTAGTCTTACACAACTACCAAGCTAACACATATGTACAGGTTAAATACTACCAAGCCGGGGTCACCAGTGCTGGTTCAAGTTCTTATTATATTATTACTTAAATATATACAAGCGCACAACTAGATAAAAGCTCCTTGCGTTTGTAGTCTTACACAACTACCAAGCTAACACATATGTACAGGTTAAATACTACCAAGCCGTTAGCTCAGCTGGTTAGTGTGTGGTGCTGATTACACCAAGGTCAGGGGCTTGGATCCCCTTACTGGCCAGCTGCCTCACAAAATCCAGGTCAGCATGTGGCATTCTGGGTATGTCACCGTTGGTCGATGTCTTGCTGAGAACAGATTGCCTCTGCCCCATGGAATGAATGAATGAGCGAATGAATGAACATGCAGGGTCACAGTGGAGTGCGGCCTGCCTGTGCCCGTGCCCGTGCCCATGCAAGAGGGCTCACTTTTCTTTTCCCTCTCGGACCCTCCATGAGCCCATCCTCGGGCAGCTCACTGTGCAGGGACATCACATGGTCTTCCCTCAGCACAAATGTGCCTCCTTGGTTTACGGCTACCTCGGAGTCCGCGGCCCTTACAGCACTGACCAGAGTGAGGGTGCTACAGGACTGACATCGTGCAGGGACGCAGGGAAACCCTGTGGCGAGCTCCCAGCGCCCAGAGAACCACTGTCAGGGACCCTGCCCCTCAGGATATGGCTGCTCCTAGCTGTCCCCAGAGGGTCGCCCACCTTGAGCTTCCTGTCTCCTGCAGGTGTGTCTGTCAATGTGGTCATCGCAGCAGTTGCTGCTCTGGCCAAAGGTTCACTTCTGGACTCCATCTCCTACAGCCACTTTCCTCCTTGGAGCTGGGCCCAGGTTACAGGGAGCTGTCACTGTGGGTCAGGCTTTAGAAGTCGTCACACCCACAAGTCGGCACTGGGGACTTTCTGCACAGAAGCTCTCATAGGCATTAGATTGCTCCGTCCTCCTCGTTTCCGGAGGCAGTGTGACCTCGGAGCAGGCTTGCCACTGACTGAGAACACAGGGCTGGAGTGGGGCTGCTGACCCCAGGTAATGTCTTCATTCCCCACTGTGTCCCCACGGCCTGCCACGGGGCCTGGTGTCCACAGGCTGTGTGGTAACCATTGGTCCAGCGGATGATCAAGTGTGCCCACTGCCGTCTGCAGCCTGTCGCATGTTCTCCTAACAGCACGGCCGGCTGTGTCCCTTTCCCTGCTCACAGACCGTCTGTCTGCCCCTTGGTCACTAGGTCTCCAGCTCACTGCCTACTTTTACTTGATTTTCAAATGTGCCAAGTTCCTACCTCAGGGCCTTTGCACATGCCCTTCCTTCTGCCTGGACTGCTGTCCCCTCCAGCTACCCTTCCTGGCCTTCAGGTCTAAGTTAAACATTCTTCTTCCCACACCCTTGCCTGGTTCCATCTCATCCCTTTTCAGCTTTCCATCTGTGGCTCTTCTCTCAGTGTGTAATCACCCAGTGTACACACTTGTACACGTCTGCAGTTTCTCCCACTGGAGGGCCATCCGTGGGGACAGTAGCTGTCCTCCTGTTTCCCCAGGGCTCACCATGGTGCCTGCTGGGTTGAGGACATGCAGGGGATGTGGTCTGAGTGGATGAACGGACAGATGAGTAATATTCCCATATTCTAGGGGTTACAGCTAGGGTTCTCCAGAGAGCCAGAACCGAGAACATAGAGATACAGGAGAGGGCACTTATTAGGGTAATTGGCTCACAGGATTGTGGGGGTTGAGAAGTCCCACGACAGGCCATCTGCAAGCTGGAGAACTGGGAAAGCCGCTGGTGTAACTCTCAGTCCGAGGCCCACGAGCCCAGGGGCTACTGGTGCACATTCTGGAGTCCGAAGGCCAGAGAACCTGGAGTTCTGACGTCCACAGGCAGGAGAAGGGCACTCCCGCTCCGGAGAGTGAAGCCCAGATTGGCCCTTCCTCCCACTCTGTCCCATCCAGCCCCCAGCCCATTGGATGGTACCACCCACATGGAGGGCAGGTCTTCCACACTCAGGCCACCGAGTCATTCGCCAGCCTGCTCCGAAAACACCCTCACAGGCACACCTGGGGCAGCCCGGTCCTTCCCAGGCAAATGCCAAGCCACCTGGGCTTCCCTTTCAGCAGAGAGGCAGGCTCAGTGCCTGCTGAAGCATTGGGAATACCTGAGTGTCCCATAATCCGGTCAAGTTGTCACCCACAACCAGCCATCACACTGGGTGAGGGAGCTGCGGGTCAGGGGGTTGCTGAGCTGCTCCAGACTGCACCACGGAGGACAGAGCCGATCCCCACTCCCTGTCCTCCGATGTCAGGACCTGAGTTCCAGTCCTTATGTGCAGCCTCTCAATTATTTCATTCCAGGTTAGGACGCAACAGTGTGGCCACTGATTGATTTTCTCTCTCTCTCCCCTCTCCACAGACTCTGCGTGTTTCTCCCTTCGCCATGGCTGTGGCCCTCACTTTCACAGAGTGGCCTTGACCCTGTCTGCCACAGCCGGAAGCTCAACCGGTCCTGGGACAGCGCCCCAAGTGGCCAGAAGCCCGGCTGCACCAGCTCCAGGGAGCAGCAGCCTTGGGGGCTGTTGTGAGCTTTAGACGAGAGAAAAGGGGCCGTCTCCAGTGTCTTGTGTGCTCCCCAAGTCCTCTTCAGTTTTGCAGTGGTTTGTGGGAAGAAGGACCTTCTAGAGGGCATGGACTGCCACCAGGACCGCCCCATGGGCCTCCAGGAGAAGGATGCACTTGCAGAGCTGTGAGATACCCGAGTCAGCGGGTCCCTGACTGGGGCTGGCAGGCAGCGCTGCGTGGGCTTCAGGTCCCGCAGCACTGACAGCACAGCCTTCCCTTCCAGGGTTGCCCCGTCAGGTTGTGATGTCATCCAGACAGTGCCCCAGGCCTGGGGGAAACAGGATTCACCAGGGCTGAGAGAAGAATGTTGCCGAGAAGAAAACCCAAAACAAATTTCATAAGGGGCAGAAACCCCACAAGGTGACCTTGGTGACATCCACAAGGCTTCATTAGCAAATGACACCCAGACCCCCAAAGTTAAGAGGGAGATTTCTTGTGGGCCACTCTCCCAACCCCCAAGTCCCAACCCATCCACTGAAGTCCTTGTCCAGGATGCTGCGGCCAGGTGTGGACACAGGTGCTGGTGCCCACTTCCACAGGAGAGCAGGGGGTCACACTTAGCAGACTCAGGCCCCAGGTTGCCCTTGGAGGCTGCCCTGTCACCTCCCTTCTCAGAGCTTACCCTGAGAGGCAGTCATGACCCCAGGACCACCCCTGTCAACAACACTGGGTGCTCCTTCCCAGGAAATTATGGTCCCATTCTCCCAGACTAGGAGCAGCTCTGAGCTGGGGGCAGCAGAGGGACTCCAGGGCGCCCACTGCAGAGCCCGCTGGGGCTGGATGGACAGTGACGGGGCCTCTGGCATCCTGGCCTTGCAGCTGGGAGACCTGGATCTGGCCCGTTTGCTCCCCGAGCTCAAAAAGTAAGAGTGGAGACAAGAGGATTGCCAGATGCTGTTCATTGCCGTCACCTGCCAAGTCCCTGGGCCCTCACCAGTGTGTCCCCAGCATCTGGGTAGTGGAGAGATCAGCTTCCGCCAGGGCCGTCCTAACACCTGTGTTAGTTTCTAGGCTCATCCCTTGCTTACCCAACCTGCCATTTGAGGGGAGGGGGCTCGGTGCCATGGCCAGGGGCTTCCCAGGCCACCTGGCATTTGCTTGGTGCTGCTTGGCTGGTTCAGGATGGGGGCTCATAGTGGGCTACACTGTTGATAAAGATTTGGGGCCACATTTCAAACCAGCTAATCAGCTGTGAGTGCCCCCACACCTTGGCACCGGTGCTGGTCCTATGGGCTTCTCTTGGGGAGTGGGACCTTTGGGCTGGCTTTGCCCACTGATATGTTCCATCCGTAGGGCACCAGCTGCACATGCCTCTTTGGAAACAGCCAAAAGCAGGAGGTGCGTCCGGGCTCCTGGGACCCCACACACCTCGCCCATATTGGAGGCTGGCCTCCTTCACTCTGAGATCCGTCTCAGCCTCTGGTCCTGGTTCTGCTGGAGAAGTCTGGAGGCAGGCTGGTGGCGGAAGCTGTGGGCCTGCGGTGAGGGCCCTGCAACCCTGTGGGGTTGCTTCGTTGACATAAAGCACACTTGTAGCACAAAGGACCTAGCCATGGTGCTTTCCCCAAAAGTTGTAACTTTAAATAAAGAGTTGAGAAAATTCTTCGCTTCTCTTCTGTGCTGGGACCAGTCTTGGGGACACGCGTGGGCAGACTTTGGTTCCTCCCCCACCAGCCAGGGTGCAAAGTCTGCCCGTTGGTATCTGTCCCTCTGGTGAGTTGGAGGAGGACCCACCCCGAGGAGAGGACCTTCCTTTCCTCGTCAAGGTGTTTTAGCAGCAGAAGCCTTTACACTGATTTGTGGAAGGAATCCTGATCCTGACTCCTTACTCCTGAGAGCAGTTCTTCCCCAAAACCCCTGTATGATGAACTCCAAATTGAAGACAATTCCATTCATTTCAGCAGGGAGGACAATTATATGCTGTAGGCCCCCAATGGAAACTCATTTCTGTGAAATAACACAAGTGCCGCGAAGATGGGTGTAATTCCTTCAGCAGGTGGTGTCAGTGGTCACAACACGTCGCAGACTGGTTTGCCCTCGTTAGTGCGCGGCGACGCCCTGCTTAGCTGCTCCGGCTCATGCTTTTTCATGACCATTATGAACTATGAACTCCGGAGTGCGCCCACAGGTAAGACATACAGCTGTTGAGTGTTTTTTGGTCTTACCTTAAAACACCCCTTGACAGAGCGGGCAGCCCAAGAGGTGATACAGGCAGTGCTGCAGGCCAGGGGCCTGGGTAGGAGACTGTCACACTGTGACCCGGCTCTAGACCCCACGGCGACTGCACGGTGGCTCATCTCCAGTGGTGCTCGGGGGTGTGCAGGACCAGAGTCGCCAGGCAGGCTTGGGCGGAGTGAAGGAGCGCGGCACATGCGGAAGGAGGGTGCTGCGTAACGCCTCCCCGGGATCAAATGAGCACCTCCTCCTACGACTGAATGAGTGCATTGCAAACGTCTGATGCAGGTAGAGCAGCCAGGAGCACAGCTGTCCTCCTGCCAGGAGGCACAGCCCTGGGACGGACATGCCAGCCCACCGCTCGCGCTGTCTACTCCCCCCCCCAGCGGTGGCAACAATGGAGGGGGACCCGCAGCTCCCATGCAGGACTGCGCTCTGGACCCTGGGCGTCTGAAGCCAGGGGCTGGCTTCCAGTGACATGGCTGTGACTACAGCCTGAACAGCAGGGAGAGGGCTGTTTCTCTTGCATGCAGTCCCAGAGAGCGTAAGCAGGCCGGGCTCCTCTGTCTGGCTGCCGGGCCATCTTCCACACCAGGCTTCCGTTTCCTGGTCCACCATGGCCACCCCAGCCCCTGCCATCCTGTCTGCATTCCAGCCAGTGGACAGGGGAGAATAGGAAGTGACCAGCAAGCCCTTTACGAGATGACGCACACGTACCTCTGCCCGTCCCGTGGGCTAGATCTTCGTCCCATCCACACCTGGCTGTGAGGGAGGCTGGGAAGTGCCCGGCTGAAGCTCCAGGACACGCTACACAGGTGCTTCCAAAAGTTCATGGAAACATTCGCATTACCTTCTAATTCTGTTCTGAGTGTGTGGCAGGACGCTGCTGTGACTGAATAAAGAAGGCAGGGTGGATATCGACACGTAGCAGCCTCTTTTTTTTTTCCTTTTTGTCTTTTTTCGTGTCTGGCAACGGATCGCAACCCTCAGTGTCGCACCCGTACCGGACCGGGACCGGCAACAGGATCGCAACCCTCGGCGTCGCGCCCGCACCT